GAGAATTATCTTTGGAGAAATAAAACCAAATTCCTCTGGCAATAGCTGATATTTTTATACCTATCATCAGGTCACAAACACTAATGCCTCCAATGAAGCTACAAAGATTATAAACATAACTGAAATGGGCCAGGCAGAGATTGAAGTCATCTGGAATATATATGCTCTGTCTAAAAAAGTAATAGCAGATGGTTATTCTGTGGCAATATGAGCCCAGTGATGCCTGAACTACTGATATTTTAAGATAAAGACAAAATCCCAGTGAGTTAAAGTTATTTTGTGTATCTTCATAAATTGATTTAAAAGTTTTTATGGAAAGACAGGAGACCTAGAATAGTGAGAACAATACCAAAGAAGAAAGTCAGAGGATGCACACTGCCTGACATCAAAACTCATTTTAAAGCTAAATAGTCAAAATGGTGTGATATTGGCAAAATAATAGGCAAACAGAGCGATGGAACAAAATAGAGCAACCAGAAATAGACCCACACAAACAGTCAACTGATCTTTCACAAAGGAACAAAATCAAGTCAATGGAGAAAGGATAGTCTTTTCAACAAATGCTGATGGAACATTTGGACATTCATATGCAAAAAAAAAAAAACAAAACACAAAACCCAACCTACCAAACAAACAAGCAAACCTCTAGTCACAGACCTTATACCTTTTTCTAAAAAAATTAACTCAAAATGGATCATAGACCTAACTGTAAAACATAAAACTATAAAAACTCCTAGAAGATAACAGAGGAGAAAATCTAGGTGATCTTAGGTGTGACAATGAAATTTTAGACCTATAAAATAATCCATGAAAGGAAAAATTGTCAAGTTGTGATATTAATAATTTTTGCTCTACAAGACAGTGTTAAAAGAAAGTAAAAACAAACCACAGACAGAAAATATTTGCAAAACACACATCTGATAAAAGGACTTGTATCCAAAATATACAAGCACCAGAAACTCAAGGATAAGAAAACAAACAAATCAATTAAAAAATAGGCAAATATCTGAACAGACACCTTGTTGAAAAGGATCTAAAAGATGGAAACCAAGCATATGAAATATGCTCAAGATTATATGTCATTGTGGAATTGCTAGTTAGAACAATTATAATGCTAGACACCTATTAAAATGGCTAAAATCCAAAAAATGACCATACCAAATGCTTAGGAGGATGAGGAGTAACAGGACATTCATTGCTCTTAAGAATGCAAAATTTCAGGGGCGCCTGGGTGGCTCAGTTGGTTAAGCGACTGCCTTCGGCTCAGGTCATGATCCTGGAGTCCCGGGATCGAGCCCCGCATCGGGCTCCCCGCTCAGCGGGAAGCCTGCTTCTCCCTCTCCCACTCCCCCTGCTTGTGTTCCCTCTCTCTCTGTGTCTCTTTCTGTCAAATAAATAAAATCTTTAAAAAAAAAAAAAAAAAGGAATGCAAAATTTCAGAGGTACTTTGGAAGACAGTTTGGGAGTTTCTTACAAAGGTAAATAGTTTTACCATACAGTATAGCAATCACTCTTCAAGGTACTTACCCAATTGAGTTGAAAAGTCATGACCAGACAAAAATCTGCACATGGACATTTATAGCAGATTTGTTCATAATCACCAAGCAATCAAGGTATCCTTCCATAGGTGAATGGATAAACAAACTGCGGTACATCCATATAAGGGAATACTATCCAGCAAGAAGAGCAAATGAACAATTGAACCCCCCCAAAGACATAGAGGGATCCTGAATGCATATTACTAAGTGAGATAAATCAATTATCAGAAGACTATAAACTGTATAATTCCAACTGTAGGATATTCTATAGGAATATCCTATATTTCCAACTATAGGAAAAGGTACAACTATAGAAATAGTAGAGAAACCAGTAATTTCCTAGGGTTTGAGTTCGGCGTGGTAGGCGAGTGATGAATAGGTAAAGCTTAGGGGATTTTAAGTGTGGTGAAACTATATGATACTGTAATGCTAAACACATGACATTATGCATTTTTCCAAACCCATGCAACTATACAACACAAAGAGCGAACCTAATGTATACTATTGACTTTAGTTTATAATAATGTATCAATATCACTTAATTAATTGTAACAAATGTACCACCTTCATGTAAGTTGTTAATAATAGGGGAAACAATGTCAAGGGATGGGGACCTGGTCTATGGAAACTCCCTACTCTTCAATTTTTTTAGTAAATTAAAATTAAAAAATAAGCAAAAACATTTTGTGTTGGTTGATTTTGTTTTCTAATAAAAGAAAGTGTAATTGTTGAGTTGAATTATTGGATCTTTTATGGATAAATATATAGTATTGCACATAGGCACCAGGTTAATTTCCTTTTAGCCATAAGATCATATTAACTAGATCTTACTTGATGCTGTGGAGGATATTATTATAGTGTGTGTGTGTGTGTGTGTGTTGTACATATAGTATAGTATTTGCTATAAATAGTATGGTATATACTATAAGTAGTATAGTATTATGCAATATATGCAATTGAAACATTTCTGCTGAGGAACAGGTGGTGGAAGTAAAGAAGTAAAGCATTCAAATAGATAAGACTCCGTTATGAAGATAGCTATTTGTAAATGTACATTTTGGGAACTGTCCATTTCAGGAAATTTATTGTTAAGCAACATTATCCTTCAAACTATTCTCATTTGATTTGAAAAGTCACTTTCAAAAAGGGAAATGACACCTACCACCAGCAATTTTTTTAAAAGTTTTGAGACATTTAAGGACATAAGGACATTTAGGGACATAAGGATTAACACATTTCAAAAATTCTTTCAATATTTTCATTGCAAAGACTATTTATTTTTGTTGCTGTAACAACCAGAAAGAGATGTGAGAAGACTGAGAAAGTGTGAATTGGTCTTTCTCCACACAAAGTACTTTAGATGACAATTAACCATTCCAACCATTAACAGGAGAATTGGTATTTTTTTATTAACCTAGGGTCTAGCTGTGTAGAGTTGGGTCAGGCCAAGGAAGATTAACAGCAGTGTTAAAATGTGTCCCAGATCTCCTACCTCACTTCCTCTCTGCTCCTCTATGGCTCACACTACGACACATTTGGATCTAATTTTCCTTGGCAATTCTCCATCCGCCCTAATACTAGTTTTTAAGATTTCATGGCCTCATTTTCTTTGCTTCAAAATTGTGCTTTGCGTTTGAAAAAATGGCAGGTTACATGTTAATTCTGTTTAATGCATTAAGTTGAAAATAGTCAAATTAAACCTTCATAGAGGGATGCAGATTTTAATAGGGATGTGGAAATATAGCATCTTATCTTTTTTTTTTAAGATTTTTATTTTTATTATTTATTTTGACAAAGAGAGATAGCAAGAGCAGGAACACAAGCAGGGGGAGTGGGAGAAGGAGAAGCAGGCTTCCCAGGGAGCCCGATGTGGGGCTCGATCCCAGGACCCTGGGATCACGACCTGAGCTGAAGGCAGATGCTTAACAACTGAGCCACCCAGGTGCCCCATCTTATCTTAAATGAACTTTGAGTGATAGAAGTTTAGTGGGCAAGCGGGTCAGAGGGTATCACCATGGCTGGGATATCCTAACCATAGACTGGTGTTGGTGTGTCCCAGGCTTTAGGAGTGAAATATATGTGGGGGGGTGGAAGAGAAGCTCTTAACTCTTACAGAGTTTTCTCTTGATGTTGCACCAGGATTTTATAATTCTTTTTGCTTATTCCACCTGATACAATTTTAGCAACTTTGGAACAAACTTAGTTCTAAGGTGAATGGAATGAGTCTTTAGGTTGAAAAGACACTGTTTAGTTACCTGCTAGTAAAAATGAGTAATGTTGGGGCACCTGGGTGGCTTAGTCAGTTAAGCATCCAACTCTTGATTTCAGCTCTGGTCTTGATCTCAGGATCCTGAGATGGAGCCCCGTGTTGGGCTCTGCACTGAGCATGGAGCCTGCTTGGGATTTTCTCTCTTCCTCCTGCCCCCTCCCCTCACTTGTTCTCTCTTTCTCTGTGAAGAAAGAAAGAGAGGAAGGAAGGAAGGAAGGAAGGAAGGAAGGAAGGAAGGAAGGAAGGAAGGAAGGAAGGAAGGAAGAAAAAGAAGAAAGAAAAAAAGAAGTAAAATGAATAATGTTGGTTCTATAGAACTAGAAAATGCATTGAGTGAGGTAGGAGGATACAGGAGCTCTTCATCTACATAGTCTCAGCTCTAGGGGCAAACTCTTTGGAATGTTGTTAAAAATTTAAAATAAACAGAAGGCTTAGAAACAGCCTAATTTACTATTATACAAAACAAAATTTAATGTAAGGTCTATTTTTGAAGACAGCAGATACTTTTTTTCAGTACCTTCTACATTCTACCTTCTCAATACTTGTATGTTGTTATTTAACACGGTTCTAACAGCCACAGAAGGAATAGACAAAGCAGAAGGAAGTCGAATAGATATTAGTGGCAGACAAATTGAACATATCAGAAAGTTACAGGAGAGGGGCGCCTGGGTGGCTCAGTCGTTAAGCGTCTGCCTTCGACTCAGGTCATGATCCTGGGGTCCTGGGATCAAGCCCCACATTGGGCTCCCTGCTCCTTGGGAAGCCTGCTTCTCCCTCTCCCACTCCCCCTGCTTGTGTTCCCTCTCTCGCTGTATCTCTCACTGTCAAATAAATAAAATCTTTAAGAAAGTTACAGGAGATAATGTTTAGAGAAATTACTCATCATATTGTCTTGTTCTGTAATGAGAAGTCCACAAGTCCTGCAGCCCACACGATTGCTTGTCAGCTCAAGCTTCTGTCTGTTGCCTTATACCATGATGTCATCAACAGCTAAGAATATTCTATCATGATCCTAGAAACTAGGGATGGAAAAACCATTTAGGAGTCTAGTTTATAAGTTTCACTCGTAACTTTCCAGTTTTTCTTCTTCTCTATCAGAGTGTCTTATTAAGGAAAAAAAATGGTTCAAGCTACATAATTTATCTTTACAGTGTTTTTCATAAAAGATGTGATCCTGTGTTTTCTTTCCACAGACCCAGGGCTGCATAGGCAGCTATATTTTCTGCAAAGACCATCCAATGTGGTAGCCATTGAAGGAAAAGATGCCATCCTGGAGTGTTGTGTTTCTGGCTATCCTCCCCCGAGTTTTACCTGGTTACGGGGAGAAGAAGTCATCCAACTCAGGTATCACAAATTGAAGACTTTTGTGAAGTATACATCACTGTTTCCCTTTCTCTAATTTGATATAGGTACTAGAAATACTAGTTTTTGATGATAATTGATTTTTCCCCTGCATTCCTTGACATTATACAATATATGAAAGACATTTACCTAATGCGATAAAGAGATGGGGAACGGAGTCAAAATCTATGAGATCAATTCAGAAAAGAAATTTAGAAAGCCAGCGTTGCTGTTGAAAATGCCCTGTCCAAAAACTATTCAGCGAAGGTAATTTGGAGGATCTCATTCTAAGGAAGTGGTATAGACAGTGAAATATTTATTAAGAAATTAAAGTTTTCTTTTTTATTTTTTAAAGATTTTATTTATTTATTTGGCAGAGAGAGAGAGCGAGCACAAGTAGAGTGGCAGGCAGAGGGAGAGGGTGAAGCAGGCTCCCCAGTGAGCAGAGAACCCGATGTGGGGCTTGATCCCAGGACCCTGGGATCATGACTTGAGCCGAAGGCAGATGCTTAACTGACTGAGGCACCCAGGCACCCCAGGAAATTAAAGTTTTCTGAATTGTAATATATAGCATGTCATTCTAGGGTCTGTGCAATTTTTTCAGCTGCAGTTATATCTTTCACACTCCAGATATAACAATTATTTAAGATAAGGCAAAAGGAGAACATGGCTGGCTTTGAATTATTAGACGTTCATATTAAGGCATAGTTAGAAAGTAAACTCTTAATAGAATGGAACACTTAGCCTGAAACATTTTGATTAAATGGATTCCACTTAAGAAATTAATTTCATTGATTTGGAGGTCTGTTGTACTCCTTTTTAACACATTTGTTTTCTATGATGAGATAGGTTCACAGACAATAACTTAAATCTTTAAATTTCATCTCCCCTCTCTATTTATATAACAACACTGTATGGTATGATGTCACAATACTTCTGAGAATATTAAAGCATGTGAGAAATCTGGTTGCAGCTTTAGCATGTCAAAACATGTTCTCTGAATGTAGCCAGACATTCTTGGTACAGTATGAAATGTGGCTTTGTACTAAATCAGATGTCAGGACACAAGACATTGACTTCCACTATGGGGAATCACTTCTCTGGAGCTTGTGGTCCTCAAATCCAAAATGAGAGAATTGCATCAGATTATCTGTAAGTTTCTTTCCAGTACTAAGCTTGGGCCCAAGTTTAATCTATTTAATTTCTTTGATCATTGCACATAGCCTTCCAGTGGGAGTGGTTTATCTTGAGTGAATTTTTGATCAATAAATGTGATGTTACCTAGGCCCCCAAAATAGAGGGTTTTTTCTAATTTTATAATTTGATCTTTTGTGGAGTTTATTTAAACCTCTGAGTACCTTGCCTGGTATACACGTATGTATCCGTACATTAATCTACTCTCTAACTGTATATGCCTGTGTCTTACAGGTCCAAAAAGTATTCCTTATTGGGTGGAAGCAACTTGCTTATCTCCAATGTGACAGATGATGATAGTGGAACCTACACCTGCATTGTTACATATAAAAATGAGAATATTAGTGCCTCTGCAGAACTCACAGTCTTGGGTAAGTCAATGGCTCGAGATTAGTTTACACTGTCCTTTTCAAAATACATGACTGTGACACTTTAAATGCTTATCCCTGAATTGCCTCCTGTGTTTATTAGTATGAAATTGCGAAGTCCAAATATTCCATACATGTCCTTACTTTACTTTGATTAATTGCAAAGGGGTTAAAAGTAGTGTTTGAATACTTGTTCATTGACTAAAATCTAGACGCAGCACTCTTTGGGCTAATTATTCCAATGATACAACTGAAATCTATGAAAAATTATTATTTAACAAACGTGTTAAACAGCAAATGAGTTAAATAACAAATGAGAGATTCCAATAGGCGTGAATGAGAGAAATTATATAAACAATATGCGCTTGAGTGGAAAAGTCAGATATCATTTGAGATGACAGACAGGGTTCCTGACATTAAATTCAAATGTCTTGGTAAGATTGTTTTGTTAATATGGAAATACTGTAGATGTTATGTTGAGGGTGAACCAATAAAATCAAATATATCTAAGGAAAACACATAGAATCTAATTTTAAAAATTTAAGGGGGGTGGATGGTACATATTATTCAGAAAGACAGGGTCACCGTGTACCTTGGTAAATTAATAATTATTATATGTGGTAGGTACTCAAACACATATTTTATCATCTACCCCAGATTTTTTTTTTTAGTCAGTTTCATTTGAATCATGTAATTTAGAGAAAGTGCTTTACCATTTGAATTCCAATTGCTTTTTCCTGTAACAGCAACAACAAAAAATTGTTTACCAGTCTTTGGATTTTTCCCTCTGGAATAAGTCTTTTCACCTTGTAAAGAGTACAGGAAAAGTTATAAGCTCTTTAAAAATTATTCAGTAGAAATGAAAAGGTATGGAATGCTGATTATATCTGCTAATCTGTACCATAATAGTATTATGCTATCCATTTTACTTTTTGGCTTTAAAGTTTATTCAGAAAATGCTTTCATCTTCAGATAGGGTAATAATGTATGTGATGGGTGAGACAATGGAGTTGTTTGTTCTTTGATCAAACCATAAATATTAAACTAAGAATAGAAAAAGGACTTTAATTCTTTGGTTTTAGAGGTAGCATTATTCTAACTAAAATAGCTTGTCTTTAAGATGATAGGAATTTAATATAGTCATTTTATATGAAAGTTTTTGGTGAAACAAAGAACTTTTACATTTATAACATCAAAGTACAGCAACACAGAATGACTATATAGAAATTATTTTGTAATGTATACCACTGATCATAAGGCAAATGCAGTTATAGAATTACCTAGAATTTATAGTGATCATGGGTAAACTTCTAATTGCAAATATATGAGGTCACATTTTATATCAAATTAATACACAATATTTGGACACATGATGCTTCATTGATATCTAAGCCAATTGTACATAAATTATGATTTCTGAGTAACTTAGCCAAGAAATATATGTAGGAATATCCATATATGCACATATATTAACATCCATAGCATCTTCTTCTGTGTGTTCCTGTGAGCATGTGTATGTTCTCCAGTTCTTTATTGTTGAGCATTGTCTTGTTTCCAAATTCTACTTAAAAAAGCACACACAGGGGCACCTGGGTGGCTCAGTCATTAAGCGTCTGCCTTCGGCTCAGGTCACGATCCCAGGGTCCTGGGATCGAGCCCCGCATTGGGCTCCCTGCTCCGTGGGAAGCCTGCTTCTCCCTCTCCCACTCCCCCTGCTTGTGTTCCCTCTCTCGCTGTGTCTCTTTCTGTCGAATAAATAAATAAAATCTTTAAAAAAAAAAAAAGCACACACAAACAACAAAAGCACTGAGATGATTATTCTGTATCTTTGTCATTTATTTGCTTATATGCTAAGGAAAAGTATCACAACAATGTTTATACTCACACCAGCAGTGCAATAATTGCCTGTCTCCAAAAGAATACTTTTCTCTCAGGGCGCCTGGGTGGCTCAGTGGGTTAAGCATCTGCTTTTGGCTCAGGTCATGATCCCAGGGTCTTGGGATCCAGCCCTGCATTGGGCTCCCTGCTAGGTTGGGAGTCTGCTTCTCCCTCTGCCTCTCCCTCTCTCTCTGCCTCTCCCCTCCACTCGTGCTCTCTCTCTCTTAAATAAATGAGTAATAAAAAAAAGAATACATTTCTCTCTACCAATATTTGCCTAACAATTTTATAAAATGGACTCTCTTTGTTCTAATTTTCACCCTTATTAAATTTAGATTTATTTTTATAGTTTTACTGGACATTTGCATTTTATATTTTGTGAGTTAGCTGTCAATCTTTTTTACCTTTATACATTTATTAAAATATTTATCTTTATTTTGTTGATTTGCAGGAACTATTAATATAGGAAGAATAGTAACTATTCTGTATAGGCTCTGTGTGTATGTATTTTGTTATTTCTGGTTTTTTGTTTTTATTTTATATTTTGTATAGGATACCAAGTATTTTTCCATATAGCTGCTGGCTTTGTTGCTGTTAGATTCACATTTTCATTATAAATGAATCACCCTATTTCCAAAAATTTCATTTTATATTATATGTTGAATGTGTAAATTAGAAGAATTATTAATTTAAAAATATAGATCGAGTTGTGTTTATGTTTTGTTTTTTATTTAATTCTCTTGGTAACTGGGTATACATTTTAAAGATCTTCCACATACCTAGTATGATCTGTAACTATTATAAAAGGCATGATTTAATTCAGGAAATGATCATAATACTGTTTTAAGTATTCTACCCAGGTTTTAAAATGAATGTTGATATAATGAAATCTTTGATATATTCTTTGACTATTCTAATGTAAAGTTAAGCTCATCCTGCAGGACTGGGTTTATATGGAAAATGTAATTTATTACTTTTTCTTAAAAGATGGGATGGGGGAGCACCTGGGTGGCTCAGTTGGTTAAGTGTCTGCCTTTTGCTCAAGTCATGACCCCAGGGTCCTGGGATCGAGCCCCACATTGGGCTCCCTGCTCAGCAGGGAGCCTGCTTCTCCCTCTCCCTCTGCCCCTCCCTCCCACTTGTGAGTTCTCTTTCTGTCTCTCAAATAAATAAATAAATAAAATCTTTAAAAAAAAAAAAAAGATGGGGAGGAAAGAACTTCATTATCAGTGTTATTCAAATACTTTTCATTAATTTTAAGGATTTAACCATAACATAAATTCTTCATAAGATAAAATTCCACAAGAAATTCAAGCTTGTGCTCATAAGTTTTAATCATGCATTTTATCAGACTTTTGTTTTGCCTTTTTTGGTCCGTCCTTACACTTAGACTGGCTTTGAATGTGAACCTGCAGGAACTAACAGACTTTTCAAGTGATACCATTTTATATACAACAAGAGAAATTCTGTAGTCTTCCTCAAGAGTTTCAGAGTTAATGAACATTAAATATAATTTAAAGCATTTACACTATAAAGTGAATATTGAAAGTTCCATAATAGTTAAACTTCTTGGGGAAATCTGTTTAGACAAGACTAAGGAAAACTTGTCTAAAGTACATGAACTATAAATAAATAAATAGGTGTGTTCTTAATCATAACCATTTATGTTAATGTTTCTGATCTCTTAAAATATTCATCAATATAGTACTGGTGGATGTATTTGAGTATATGTACTGCACTAGGTTCTGGGAAGGCTACAAAAGGTTTAAAGTCTGGCTTCAATGGGCTTGTAGTATTATTACAAATTCATACAATCAATTGCCTGCCTTCGGAGTAAGTTTTTTTTTTTTTTTCCTCCATTTTGCGTGTTAACATGGACTCTGTGAAGATATGAAGAGTTGATAGTCTTTGCTCTCATGAAAGATAGAATCTAAAGAAGTGTTGGCAGGAAGAGATGCTGAAAAGGGGGTTGCAGAAGGAAGTTTTCTTATTATTGGAAATATTTCCAATATTACATTTTCCATATAAACCCAGTCCTGCAGGATGAGCTTAACTTTACATTAGAATAGTCAAAGAATATATCAAAGATTTCATTATATCAACATTCATTTTAAAGCCTGGGTAGAATACTTAAAACAGTATTATGATCATTTCCTGAATTAAATCATGCCTTTTATAATAGTTACAGATCATACTAGGTATGTGGAAGATCTTTAAAATGTATACCCAGTTACCAAGAGAATTAAATAAAAA